CCCGCGTAGGAGACCCTGCTCGGCATCATTACCTCAGAGATTCCGCCCGAGGCAGCTCCCGACGGCTTGCTACTGGACCCGCTCTTCTTGCGAGCCCGCAGCATGCAGTCGTCTTCCTTGTCAGTGGACTCATCATCACTGCTCTCGTTGCCCTGCAACGAGGTGTGAGACTTTCCATGACCGTGTGACCGGAAACGATAAGGGTGTACCTTATCGTCTGCGTCTTTAATTATTGTGTCCACAGGGGATGCGGCTCTCTCCGGCTGTTGAGGCGTGGGAGGGAGATTGTCCCAGTGCGCTCCCTCGGGGAGCGATGGGACAGGGGCTTCCAATGCAGACACCGGCATTCCATAATCGAAGACAAAGTCCTCCTCCACCTGAGGGAAGGTAGAGGGGACCGTCTCCGATGCCGGAGTGTGTCGCGGAACTAGTCGACGCGCACATCGGGGGCAAGAGGGTCTCGCCGGGAATTACCCCGTACAGACAGAGCTGAGTGAGTGATACTCACCACTTGAGTATAACTGGGCTTGAAGTCGACAGTCACACGGACTAGGTTAGAATGCTAGCTCTTCAAGTTAGATTACTTGTCACTTGGTAAATACAAGGGAGCTTACCTAGCTCTTCAAGAGGACGAGATGAAGAGCTAGGACTATGAGCTACACTACTTATACCCCTGAGGTTTAGGGCAGGGATCCTACATCAGACAGCCATCACATGTGTGAGGTACTTACGCTATTGGCTATCTACTGATGATGCAAGATGACGTGATCTACCATAACTCCGGTCTCGGGATATGAGTCAATGAGTCATGTGCTACAAGAGAAACCCCAGTATGTGGTTACGTCACATGACTAGTCAGAATGCCGTTCCAAGTGAAGTCTTTATCGAGCATATAGTACAAGTCCATTGTAAAGCGAGATAAAATAGTAAAAATATAGGAAAAATAGGGCCTGGTCGTGCCTACTACGACAGAGTGTCTGCAACCATGACAACCACGGTTTCACCGGTAGGTGGAGGGGGGTTGTAGCCCTCCCCGAGGGGAGAGCTAGGACTGCCCCTGGTATGTTCACGCCACAAGGACGTGTGGGTTATGCCAGACGCGCTGGCTTTGCGTTCTCTGCCACTAGGGTGAGCGTTGTAGTCCACGGTTCGCGATGTGCCTGCCGCTGCAGCACTCGTCGAACCTGGTCGAGCGGTCGAGGGTGTTTTGTCGGCAGGAGGGCCCTCGTTGCGGGCGGGGGGACGGGGGGAAGTGGTCGATGGGGGGAGGCATCTATCGGACATGGTGGTGGTATGAGGTCAAGGTGCGGCGGGTAACGGCGGGTCGCCCACGGGTACTTGTATCTATTTGCTGTGTAACATCGCAGGACGAGATGTACAGAGTAACAGCACTGATGGTTATGACTTTACACACACCTAATGATCAGTCACCCCGCGCACAAACATCTTCGTGCCATTGTCTGATTCAGAAGTGACCTTCAAGATGTCAGTCTCCTTCACATATCCAAGTTTGCTCCAGTCACCAAGGCATAAGACTGCGTGGATTGATTGCACAGACATGCCGTTACGGATGTGCGGCAGGACCAGCCATCCACAACTAAAGATGTGCTCAACGTCGGCAGAGGTCACTAGAATATAGGTGTATGAATAGCAGAACACAGAGATCAAAGACAGTATGAACCAGTTATGGTCAGATAGCTACGAGAGGCTCGGATAGGTGTGGCAATGCTTGTACCACCAGTGGACCGGGTCCTGGACAGCCTCAACGTCGGATGCAAGGTAGTGCATCAGGAAAATCTCCCCCTCGGAATTAGTGTGAACACTGTGGGATCCAAAGTATTACTGAGAATACTTGTGATTGCTACACATTGCGACAGCCGTTCTCAATAGTCTCAATACTATCATGAAATCATATGTAGGTCTCTGTATACGAAGTAATGTTGGCATCATTCAAATCAATCACTGTGTCAGGAGCCATTGCATGAAGTTCACATACAGAATGTTGAACTTCTACTATTTCATACATTATCTAATCAGGCTCTCCTGATAAGGACTTTTCTTATGTTCTGCTACACTACTGTACGTAGATTGCATTCCTTTTCTTCTTATCTATATATAGCTAATTATACCAAGTTCCATTCGGCATTCCACTCGGTATCCATTCGGTATCCATTCGGACTCCATTCAGTATCCATTTGGTATATTTATTCAGACTCCTCTTGGTATACACTTGGTATCCACTCGGTAATCCGGATTATGACTTGACATGACTCAGGCCTCATCTGATATGCCTACTGTACAATCAGATAATGCCTTCCTCTCATGTATATATACTGGGCTCAGATGCCCTCTAATGTAATTGTTCCTCCCTCTGCTTTCCTGTGTGCCTAACAGGACTCCCTCTAGCAGCTTCCCTCATAGGTTTGTTCACTAGCCTTTACCGCCACTCCCTATCACTCCTTTTCAACACAGAACAGGAATAAGTATTACATTCCGAGACATGCCAGCATGTTCAACGACGTACAAGCATACCAGGCAATGGTATAACTCACTTTGTGTATGTCACATATTCCTACTTCTCATGTGTCGCCCTAATATTGATGCAATCTCATACTGGCCGAGTCGATAATGCGCTCACCAGTGAGTGCTGAACGTGGCTAATGACGCAGTGGTGTGGGAGGCGCTCTGGTACATGGCGCACACAGCCTTACTACGTGGAACATCAACACACTCAGGCTGTCGCCCGTCTGACTCTGGCTTCTCCACAACAATGCTCACATATGCACCTGTGGGCTACATTCGTCTCGTGTCCACTGGCAGTCTTGCAGCTCGTCATTGGAGGCTTCTCACAAGGTTTTGTGCTGAGACATGCATTGCACTCTGTGCAGGTGACCATCTCCATGATACCCTTGTGAACAAGCACTTCCTACTGAGTGTGACCACCATGTGATCATGTGGCTGTGCTCACTCAAATTGCTCCACCATGTAAGCAAGAGCACGGTACTACTGATGGTGAGCAAGGTGCTGAAACTGAGGGACTAGGTGCACAAAGATGGGTGATGTATCGAATGTGTTCGCCTGATGACTGGCTGAGCAGACAATAGCAACACCTAGTGAGACTTAGATGGGATATTGCCTCATAGGTGACTCATAGGTATGATATTTCCCAGTAGGTGCAGATGAGCACTAAAATATTGAAGGAGTGAGGGGGAAGTGGCTATAAGGCTTAGTGAACAAACCTGAGGGATACTGCTAGAGGGAGAGGCCCATTAGGCACACAGGAGAGAGCAGGAAGGAACAATACATTGAAGGGCACCCAAGCCCAGTATATATACATGTGAGAGACTGTCATGAGTCATCAGCATAAGGTACATGAGTAATTGTTAGTAAGACAGGAACCGTAACTCCAGGTTACTGGCAATATCATATGCCTAAGGAGTGGAGGCCCGGAGGTCCATAATCTAATCTACTGAGCTAGGACAAGAGATAACGGGTCCTGCAGATAAGATAAGAGCGAAAAAGGAAGGTGAGTGTACAGTAAGGTACATAGTGTTGCAGAACACAATGTAAGTCCATATCAGGCAAGCCTGATAAGATAATGCCTGAAATGGTAGAAGTTCAACAAGATGTCGTCCAATAGTCAGTGCCAGATTGGTCGACAGAAGACAAGGATGTTGCCAAACAATCCTTGAAGCGAAGATGACTCGGAGCACACTGAAACCACACCATGTAAGCACCCATAACTATTTCACATTCAACACTCACCTGAATATTCTTTCCAGTGGGTCGACCAATATGGGCAGCATCTAAGGCTGCTCCTCAAGGTGCATCTTGATGTGATGTGATCTGCAGTTGCTACTGACAATAAGATGTCCTATGCTCAGTAAGGGCCAGTAGGATAAAGAAATTGAAACTTCCTACCATGTCCAAGTCGACTTCCAGTGGTATCACGACATCTGCAAATGGTAGGCTGCCTTGCATGAGACACATATGAGGTTTGTTACACTCACCTTCCTGTTTCAGCAGGAGATACCCACACTGATCCACCACTGGCAAGACCACCCACAGCAATGGCTACCAGGATGTCAGCATCACTGGCTGACAGCAACATGGAGTGCTGTCCAAAGAAGGCAAAGGTGGGCTCATCTGAGATGCAACGATCACCAAAGTCTAACAAAGGTACTACCCATTCACACTTGATGCCTGAATACACTTAATCCCTCAGTATTTGCAGGCAGAGCTTATGCGGCCCCTGAGATCAATGGTGATTCCAATTCCGAAGACCTTCCACTGCTGCTGCACCCACCACCAAGGTTGCAAAAAGGTGCAGCTGCAACCCACGCTCAAACAAAGACAGTCAACACACTCTTTGATGATGATGGAGAAGAAGAGCTCCGAGTGAGTGAGGATGCTGAATTGGATGGGGAGGAAGTTGAAGGCTGTGAAGTGTGCACAGACTTCGATGCTGAGGTGTGTAGAATATTGGTCACTGCAGTGACCAGCATGTTCGACTTACCTGGACATTGTAGCATGTTACCTTCTATGCACCAGGTGAGCATAACTTACTTCACACCATACTCACATGGCTTGAATGCTTGCAACAGGATCTCAACTGGCCGCAGCTAACAATTCAAGCACTGAGCCCACTAGCCTTGTACAACCTCGTAGGCATTGATCAAGGACATCCCGCTCATTGAGCATAGCAAGCTCAAATCATACTGGACTGCCAGCCACAGAATGTGATGACTTTGACATGGAAGATCTGCCATCTGAGCAAGGGGAAGACAATCAGGAACACATCAACATGGACCAGGCAAGTGCCTATGCTATCACATATCCTAGGGCCTGGTCTTCTGCAGAGCCTGAGAGTGAAGATGAACTGGATGACATGGAGAGCATTGATGGGTGAGTTAGAAGCCTAAGAGCATATTGTAGCCTTGACAAGTTAGAAACACTTGGGGTTTGTAGTCACATCCACCTGACCAGGTTCAGGTTTGACTGGCACTATAGCTTAGCGGTTAGAGAATCAAAGGCCCTATCAGAAGGTCACTGGTTCAATTCCAGCTAGTGTCACTTTTCCTGGCACAGCCTTGTTCAAGTCTCATCAGTGGCATGTTCTCCTGCAGCAGATTGTTCTGCTTGAGCTTGCTGGACCACATGGGGAGCAGCTTCGTCGGGGAATGGATCATGCTGAACACAAACCTGTGCAGCTGTGCGAAGGTGAGTGCTTAGTTAATCCAGTAGTATCAGACTCATTACAGCCTTGTGCAAGGACAAGCTTGATGGGCCACATAGTCACATCAAGCTCAGCGACCTCCTTGGCCATCATGTTCTGTTGCTCATCGACCCAGCTGTCCATGTCATCATCCTCCAGGTCCACTGCATCAAGGTTCCACTCATCAACATCATCAACATCTTCAATATCTGCCATTCCCTCAGTGAGTTCTTGCAGTGCTACCTCAGCAGCATCCAGGCCATCATCATTACTGTTCCTCCTGTGTGGTGTCGTGTCAAATTGCTTCAACAGCATCTTCATGACAAGATTCAGGATGTGATCAAAGCATCACACATGCGCCTGCTGTCCATGAAAATCATCAATGAGCTTGTCAAGCTCATCAGTCATGACATTGTTTGCTGTTGCATTGTCAGTGGTAACAGCAAGCATCTGCATGAAATAGTGAGTGCTTTGTTCAGCTGTGTTATCATATTCTGACCTTTGTATTGATGCAAAACTCCTTGACTATGTCCGTGAATGCAGCTGCAAGGTTGACACTGGAATGGGACCTTGCCAGCTCGATGACATCAAGGACCATGCAGCATGGTGCACTGTGTTGTGGTAGGCACAGCTAGGCCCTATTTTTGCCTATATGTTTACTATTTTATCTCGCTTCACAATGGACTTGTACTATACGCTTGATAAGACTTTGCCCGGAATGGCATTCTGACTAGTCATGTGATGTAACCACATACTAGGGTTCATCTTGTAGCACATGACTCATTGACTCATATCACAAGACTGGAGTTATGGTAGATTGCATCATCTCGCATCATTGGTAGATAGCCAATAGCATAAGTACCTCACACATGTGATGGCTATCTGATGCAGGAGCCTTGCCCTAAACCTGAGGGGTATAAGTAGTGTAGCTCGTAGTCCTAGCACTCCATCTCGTCCTCTTGGAGTGCTAGGTAAGCACATTGTATTCTTCCATAGATTCTAATATTAACTTGGAGTGCTAGTGATCTAATCCTAGTCTGCTGAACATTGACTTCAAGTCTGTTAAGCCTTGAGGGTGAGTATCACACTCACTCAGCTTCTGTCCATATGGGGTAATTCCCAGCAAGACCTTCTCACTTTCCTTTATGTGTGCATCAACCTAGTTCTGCAACAGTGGTCCTCAATGATGGAGAATGGCTGCAGGCTTTCCGCTACTCAACAGACAATCTCGGCCCTGGTCAAAGCTCTTTGGTCAGTTGCTGCTTTGTATGTCCTGATTGCTACACTGACCATGTCTCATTCTTTGTATGCTGGCGCACAGAATATGTGACTGGGCCCTTTCCTGTGCAAGCAAAAGCCACAGTAAGATTGCCAGAGTGCATGTAGGCCTTCACACCATCATGCGCCTTCACCATGGACCCTAGGGCATCAGCAGACACCAACACCTCATCCTCGAAACACTTCTTCATGTGTTTGTGAAGGTTGCTGATAGAGTTTCTGTCCTTCTTGTCAAGCCACTGTTTGATGATGGTCTTGCAGCCTCAGTTCACGCAGTGGAAGAGGTGAGCATGCTTGCCATCATCATCGATCTTGATGGTCACTTCGGGCTTGTAGAATGTGTACACTGGCACAGACCATTCCTTACTTATGCACACTGACAGTGTCCAGTCAGTGTCAGCACGTCTCAATTAAAACATGCTCACCTAGTTCTTCTTCAGGGCTTTCTTCCTTCAGCACATGATCTCTCTTTCGGTGCCCATTTGCATCAACTTCGACAACTTCATCATTGCTGCTGCCATCTTCATCCTCAGGGATGTCTTCAATGCAAACATGGCAATTGGGGACTGGGACAGATGATGTGGTCTTTGGAGCAGCCTGCTGATTGGTCAGGACAGGTGCTGGATCCTGGGGGGCAGGACACAATTGACTTGCTGCCTGTGTGGAGCTATGTGCAGCTGCCTTCTTTGGTTTTGAAGGACACTTTGTGGCCTCAGTGGCAAATACCTTCTCAGTGGGAATCTGCATGCACTTCCCACCTTGTGGTGTTGCCTTGGGACTGCCATTTGTGCACTTCTGACTCTGGACCATGTTGATGTCATGAGATTGGACAAGTCTCCAGTCTGTCAGACTGTCCTGCTTTGTACAGTGGATTATGGTTATAGAATTGAGGTTTGCCAGCCACCATGGAGCTATCCCGAGTGCCACCATAGACCCCAAATGGCAGTCTTACCCACGGGTATTGCAATGGGTACCCCGGGTCAGTAGAAGTGTACCCTAACCCCTACCTGGGGGCACCTGTACCTGGTACCTGGGCAGGTTCCCACGACCCATGCTCTGCACTAGGCAGGAAGCCACCCTCCCACTCAATCTTGAAAGTGTGCATCTGCTCCCTGACCTTGAACCACCACCATCTCCGGTAGGTGCCTGCTTATCAGAGCCCATCTATCTACCCTCCCCCTCTAATTCACCCTCGTTTCCTCACATCAAGGCCATCCAACTTGGCCCCCACACTCACTACTGTCGACCAACTCGACACTGTGACATAATTCCTCTTTCCCCCGGGTTTGAGGACCACAAAATACCTCACCTCGCCATCACCAACCAAGTGACAGACGGTGAGTGGTTGGGATATTTAAACCCTTGTCAAACACCAGAGGATAGGTTGGTCCTGAGCAAAGACAAACTTCTCCCCTTTGTTCTTGGGAAGTACAACTATCAAGTCAATACTAAGTAAGTTACTATAAGAGAAAGTAGTTAAGACTTCCTAATTATAGTATGGTGATTTGGTTGTATGTTGTTATGATATATACTAACTCCTTGTTAGTATGTCTTCTTATGATACTAGACTCTTGCTAGTGTTCTCTTGTTAGTATGTCTTGTTATGTTACTAGACTCTTGCTAGTATTCTCTTGTTACTTGACTAACACTGTGTTAGTATGACTTGCTATGGACAATAGTACTCTTGACTAGTTCTCTTCAGTTGCTGACCTTCCAGTTAGTCAGATATAGCCCAGTTGGCTATCCAGTAGTTTCAGATGAAAGCTAGATTTGTATTCAAGTAAGTAAGTAACCAGTCTCACTGCAGGACACTGTGTCCAGCTCAGGAGATGATGGTGGTACAGGTACAAGATGTCTCTACTTGTTTGGGAAATGGGCGTCCTTTTATACCCTTTTCCGTGGGAATTTAGGACAATAGGAATCTACTAACAAAAGGCATGAACAAAAGAACAAATACCTATATGTGTCCATTTTGGGATAACAATATTACTTGCTCCTTATTGTTAGTGAAATCACATGCTTGTGCATCCTTTTGTCCCTGCCTACCTTTTGTTAGAACAAAAGAAAGAAGAACAAAAACTCATCCTGCTATGGTTGCAGCACAGTAAGCTCCATATCTATTGTATCTAAAATAGTCCATCTGCTGTGATACAAAGCCCAGGTTCCCCTTACGCCAATTCCTCCATTTCTACCTCTTCTGCCATTTGCTTCCGGCACCTGACAATGAGATTAGTATTGTGTCAAATTTGCCGTTGGACACCCGCCCCCATGTTTGAAATGCAACGTCCCCGTTGCCATAGAGGGGAAAATAAACATATGGTGACTCACAAGATGGCATGGATGAACTTGGACAAGCTCCTGACAACTGCCAGGTAGCGAGGAGCTGTTGGAGGCGATGCCAGGAATAATTGACATGGCAGCTCGACAACGCAGGGCTTGAAGATGGCGCGGTGGGTGGTTATGGCATCTTCATACGAATCCAGACGCCAGCCTTGGAACATCAAGTTCTCGCTGTGTGCTGCGCGCAGTGGGCGTGTAAGATGAATGAGTCCAGCGTCCTGGACATCGATCCATCCGTAGGTATTGAGAAGGCGACTAGCGTATGCCACCTGGTTGAAGCGAATATGGTCGAATGAGCGACTAGGTCCAAGGCGCATGTCGCAGGTGACCATGCTGAGACCAGCGAGACAGAGATATTCAACACCGATGTTGGGGAAATGCTCCTGCTCAGGAGCAACTTCGCTGACAACCATTAAGTCCGCCTGTATGATTGGCCACTTGGCCAGAGGATGGGCAGAGTTGAAAGGAGTGTGGCCTGTGAGTTGAGCGACATGATGGAAGGGCGAGCAATGTTCACATTGCGACGACAACGTGGGTATAAGTGATGTGCGATTAGCGTCTGACGTGAGAATGAATGATCAAATTCACTGATGGGATTTACCGATCCGCCCTAAAGGTTATCATGTGTGAAAAGAAGTATTTTGTTTGCCACTGTTTATAATCATGGCAAGATCAAGGTAAAACCAATAAAGTATATGAGATAAATAAAAGGATGGCATAGTGATTGAAGTACGGAATATGTATAAAAAATCTTAGTAGTGCCTTAGCGGCCTGGTGGTTTCAACTGTGGTCCTTCCAAAGTCTACAGCCCACCATTCGTAACGTTCTGTGAAACTATTGTGTTCTTCATCAAACCATTTGAGGTGGACTAGGCTATATCCATTGGTCTTGTAGACAGCAGATACTGTCTGTACTCCTGAACGGTATGTGTGGCACCAAAATCGAAAGTATGTTCTGCGAATATTCCAGTCAGTTCGTTTTGAACTGGTACTGAGGGCTTACTGTGTATGTGTCATCCACATAGGTGGGTCTTGACTCAATTCTTCTTCAATCCATAGTCTGCAGTCATTTGGCCAATTCACAAATTCCTCCAAGGCATTGCACTATGATGAAGTGATCCGGACTGTCTTCCATAGCCCATGGCATATGCCCAGGTGCCGTCGTTCAGTTGGAAATGAGTCATCTTCTTGGATTCTTTTAGATTATAACTTTTTGACATATAGAATTTGTGATACATACT